TAGTGAGTGTGTGTTGTGTTCGAGTGTTAGAGTGATGCGTGTGGGATATCCAGGGTGATCCAGTGTATGTGAACAGTGAGATGTTTGGGCGCTGAAGTCGCCATAGCCATTTGAGAGTGAATTCGTATCTGAAGCCATATCTCTGAGTTTTGAGTGGGCGCATGTCGCCAGTGTGCTGTGTTACTGTTTACATGTGTGAAAAGTGTGTTTGAAAACGAGTCTGATTGCACACAGAAATGTAGGCAGAATAATTTGACTGAACATTTTGGCATCTCGTTTGATGAAAAATGCTATTAAGTCCAAATCATTGCCAGGTTACAGCAAATTAGACTGAGACTCGTAAATCTCAGCCAAGATGGGCAAACAGATCAGGTTTTGTGTTGGCTTCTTTTGGAGGTTTCAGACGTTTAATACGGCAGCTAAGCTGTAGCTTTCAAAACAAAGACTGAATCGGATGCCGGTATCAAAACCGACACGACTTGGCTATGATGCTCCAATGAGATGACACGACCGAGCAATGGCCTCAATGTCTGAGCTGAGAATTGTCTTTTCAACTTTTCAGTGTTTCACGGTTCTCAGAAAAGATAGATTTCTCAGTCTGTAACTGTGCAGGCCGTTGGGAAATTGTGAAATTCTGGTTAGCGAATGGCAGCCGTGGAATTCCGGATGATGGAGTACCAAGCATGTCCTCCTGCTCACAAAACAAAGCGTGGAATTCAGGAGATGAATCTTGCTCACAGATCAAAGCTTGGAAACAGACAAATGCTATCAGAGTTTCACTTCAATGTTGCGATACGCCGATATCCCTTTTTGCAAGTCTTTTCCCGGCGCAAGCGTGCATGCATGGTTGTTCCTTCCATTGTTGTGCGAGGGGAAAGCTTGTTATGAAATTCTCGAAATCTAGATGAGTCGCTGTTGCCTTGAACTGGAATTTTTTTGAGATTGTCACACCAGCTTAAGAGGACCTCAATTTGCCAAGTGAGTGGCATGTGTTTATGGCGGCCTTCCTCAGCTCCTCCCATCATTCTCAGCTTCCTCCGTCCATAGCCATGGAGAGCTCAATCAGGGTTTTGGTACTTTCTGCTTCTTGTGTGGTTTACATGCCGTGGAAGTAGTGAAGACGGATGGACGCAGATGAAGTCGTTATCTGTTTCATTGCATATTCAATTTCCCTCTCTCATACGATTTTCTTGGGTCACGATGCTACTGCTAACGCCGTTGCTGCCCATGGCCTCAAGGTAAGGGGCAGCCCCCAGAGTTATGTCGATAATACTCTGTATCCATGGTTAGAGATCAATCCGCGTTGTCCGAAGCTGGATATTACCATCAGATCCTGACTGTCACATTCCCAACCAACGACCAAGACATACTGCAGTGAGGCCGGACCTTAAGTCCTTGGTTGCGAGGAGTCGTCGATCCATCCCAGTCTGGCACAGTTATGATCTAAACAGACCCGTCCGTTTCAGGTGAGGTATTGCATTACAATAACCGTCCCATTGCCTTGTTAATGGCAGGGCGACTTACATAGGTTCCGTTGTCATCTTGTGCAGTTCATGGAAATTGGTGTAACTTAGTCTGGTATCCATTTGTCTGCAATTTGCGTGTTGGTTGTGGTCCAGGTGCAACGAAAGGCAACACAAGACCAGATAGCATACTTCGGACAAACCCCAGCCCAGTTGCTAACGACTCCTCATCAGCCTCGATTGTCAGTACATGAGGCTGTTCATCTTCAGGTAATGTCTGGCTGCAGACTTCAAAGTTCGATGGCTCAATGCACGACAGTCAAAGTCCGTGGATTCATGAAGACAGTGTGATGTTGTTGTGACCAGGACTCGAACTCGTGACTTGGTTATTATCAGTCCTAGGCATGTTCCAGTACCATTCTCATATCAGTTCCACGCACGTTCCATTACTGTTTCCCCTAATATTCAACGTCTTCAAAGTCTTTTTGGCCAACCTGGATGATGTCTTCTCCAATGATAGTCTCAAATAAGTTGAAATAAATTCAAACAATTCATTTCTCTCTCTTGGCTGGGTATGGGTAGACAATTTTTAAATCACCCTGGGTGGGCTGGGTACGGGTAAAAAAGAAAAATTGATTAGCGTGGATGGGCTGGGTCTGGGTAAAAAAAATTGTGTTTACGTGGGTCCGGCTAGATAGGATACATCAAGGCTTGGGCTGGGTCGGATATGGGTAGGAAAAAAATGGTTTTGCGACCTCTGCAAATAACCTCTCTCTCTCTCTCTCTCTCTCTCTCTCTCTCTCTCTCTCTCTCTCTCTCTCTCTCTCTCTNTCTCTCTCTCTCTCTCTCTCTCTCTCTCTCTCTGCACAGCGCACACACATGCACACACTGATGAGTTGGTGAAAGTCTGACAAAACAGTCTGGCAAAGGTATGTTTTTTTGTGTAGTTGTGTCTAGTGAACATGACAACTCACAGGCAACAAAAGAAGAAAGAACACATCCCTCTCCAGCCTCTCCATACTCCAGTTTGCTTAACGAGTTTGATGTGCAACAATTGTTCTTTGTCATAGACTATCTTCCACAATCTATCGGCTGTCTGCAGATATGCAATCTTAAAGAGTTTAATGTGCAAATGTTTTCTGTCACAGACTATCTTCACAGTAGATTGGCTGTTTGCAGCTATGCCATCGTAATGAATTTGATGTGCAAATGTTTCTCTGTCACAGACTATCTTCCGGAATCCATCTGCTGTTTGCAGCTATGCAATCGGTGGGCAGGATCGCCTCAATGTTCCCGCTGTGCAGCTTTGTGCAACCTCTGAGACCATTGTCACAGTTCAAGGACCTGCTCCTGCATGCCATGTGGCAGTGCACAGATGGCAGCCCAACACCCCAGACGACCGAGGCATTCCATTCAAGTTCCAGCATGGACGAACATTTAGCTCTTCTGGCAGTGGTGCCCTCATGAGAATGTTCTCACGAGGTCCAGCACAAAGTGAGTCCAGATTTTCTTACCTCTCGCTTTCCCTTCCATTACCTTTCTTGCCACTGCTAAAACGTGCGATATGATCTTTATCCGTTGTATTGCAGTATGAAAACAGCTAGGTTTGAGGCCTTGCATAACCTCCGTCCTCGATGCCCTGCCTCCAGGATTTGTGGCAGTTTACCAGCTGGCTGCTTTACGAAGTGGGAACAAAAGTACAGCTACCATTAAGTCACAGCTGAAAACAGCTGACGGCGTCGCATGTCCAAATGTTGGAAAGTGCTCCTGACCATGGAGGTTCAGCAAGTCCAAGTTTGGGATAACAATAGGTTCGACAGAGTAGTTTTGGTCACAGTGGTTATTGGAAGCTGGTATACCAGTGGTGTGTAGTGTTGTCCATCTCCTCTTTTCCTGTGTTCATTACCTCTGTCAGTTCTTGTTTCCTCTCATATTCTTTTATGCCCTCTCCTACAAACTATGGTCGTTTCAGATGGTACACCCACAGACTGTGACAGACGCAAGTTCGAGTCGAGATGGAATCAGGTGAGTGAGAATGACTCTGAATTAACCTGGGGCCGTTCAATTCAAAGATGATATTTTAAGGCCGTCGGGGAGGGGGGGGGGGGGGGGGAACAAAAAAACAAACAAACTATGGTTGTTCCAAGGCCAATGGATTGCATCTCTGATTCTTCTCTCGCGTTTTGTTGGTTAGTGTTATCGTATCTGGAAGTGCCAGTATGTCGACAACCCTCTCTTCTCTTCTCCTGTCCTATTATATCCTCTCCATCTCCCATTTCTCTGTTCTGCTTTCGTCTGGTCTTCTCTCTGATCATCTCCTCTTGTTTTCCTTCGATACCAGTCTCTCCTGCTTCATCTTCTGACTCTTCTCTTCCCAGTATGAGAAGAGCGATCAGTGTTCCAAGTGAGTTGCCTTTGTTGAATGAAATATGTGCATTACGTTGTTGCGAAGCATTCTTTCCACATCTCGCAATGCGCGGCTTTCCTTGGGAGTCTTCCATTTTTTTGTTTCAACATTTCACCTGAGTTTGTGCAACATTTCACCTGAGTTTGTGCCATTGGCCTGCACTCTATGAGTAAGCACCCCCTAACTAGCGCCGAATGTGAAACATCTGTGCTAATCGAAAATGTGTTCAGCAACGAGCCGCTCTTTTACATACTTGAATATCGTGTAATCGATGTACAACTGATGCGCCGAGCGGTGTTCCTCCTTGTTCGTTATTAGTACTTGTTACTTTTCGTCCTGTTTGATTGCATGCCATTTCCTGCATACACTTTTTGGATAGTAAACACCTGGGTTCATTACATGCAAGCATGTACTCCATACCTTGCACTTCCTTCTCTTTCTGTTCCTTTTGTTTTGATCTAATTGGATTCTGTTCGATCTAATCATTCTGTTCCTTTTGTTTTGATCTAATTGGATTCTGTTCGATCTAATCATTCTAATGCCGATTTGCTCTGCCCTGTTGTGTGGCTGTTTTGTCGATGTTACAGCCCCAGCGATGGTAATGTACCCTCGTATTCATACGCTTCCTGCACCTGGCATTAACAAGTATGCTGTAGTAGCTATAACTGCGGATGGAAGGTTGGTCTCAGCTCAATCACTTCAATCCCTGTCTGTTCATAATTGCAACTACTGCAGATGGAAGTTTGTCCCCATCTCCGTCCCGTCAATCCCTGCCTTTTGTAAATATAGTGTACTCTTATGTATAATGTACAATGAAATTGGCGAGAATACAATTGTGACTGCCAAGAGAGGGAAGGGGGGGGGCAGGTGGGGAGGACAGCAGACAAAGGCTCTGATCTGACCAAAGCAATTGCTCATTTGCTAAGCTTTGTGGAATGAGAAAGGAGTTGAGGATGCCCTTCGAGACGTCCATTAAAATTGGAGCGATACAGAGAAGATTAGCATGACCCCTGTGCAAGGATGACATGCATAAACCGAGAAATGGTCCCCCCCCCTCCCCAAAGAAAGGTAGGACATGATTGTCGTATGCTACATCTGCTGTTCCATGTGTTTCATTTAACAGTTGTGGCAAGCTGCAAGCGTGTGCACGTTTTCATATTGGACTAGAGATGAGGACTGTGTGACCTAGTCAACGAAATGGCTCGTTTGCTCAGATTTGTGGAATGAGAAAGGAGTTCAAAAAAATTGGCATGAAAATTGCATATCTGCCGTTCCGTGTGTTTCATTAAACAGATGTGGCACAAGCTCCAATCATGTGCACGTTTTCAAGTCCGGGTAGGGATCATCCACCGCAGTACCATGTTCCCCCGAACATAACGTAGTATTCAAATTTTTTGAAATAATTTAATTGTGCATTCGAATATGCCAGCCGTTCGAATAGAATGCATGAGTGTTGTATTCGAATAGAAAGCAACCTATGCATTGTATTCGTTTACAACACGTATGTGTTATGTTCAAGGGAGGACGGTTGCTGGTTTTCTGGACATTCGAGTGGGTAAATATGGAAATCGGAGCCACAATTCAGCAGCCCATGAAAAGGTTGGAAGTGAACAAAGACTAGTTTGAGCAAGTGCATTCTTACACTAGTACTTTCTTGGCTGTCTCTGGCCCTAAACTGGGTGAGAAAGATTCCAATGTCGTATCATTTCATACCCTAGTAGCAGCTCATACCCGAGGGTGCGCTTCCTCATCAGTGAGTCCAAGTGACAACATCTTGTGCTTTCTTGTACTCGCTTAACTTAGACTTTGTGACTTCGTATTATATACAGATCTGCCCAGTAAACCGTGGGCAGAGAGGGAGAAGAGGACGACAAACGAGGGGCTGTGACGCTGTTTCGTCGGAGTTTCACCTACGCATCAGGAGGCTCAACCCTCTACAGTCTGCAGAGTCCCGTAACTGATGATCCTGAAAGTGACAATCCACCTTAACTCCGGTTGCGGTCAAGCTGCTCAAGCATCAGCGCTGCCCTACAAGTACATGTGCCTATACCGGGTGTTTGTTTTCTTGCCACGTTGGCATGCTGTGTATTGGTCTGATATTTGGTAGCTGTCTGACAACAAACACACACATTTGCATTCAGGAATTCAGGTCGAGAAAGGCCGACCACTTTTCTCAGGGGTAGCACTAACTGTGGGTGTTGTGATGAGTCCTTGTTGACCAGTCAAATGAATCGTGGGAAGATTGTCGGTGTTCAATCTTCTCACGAGTTGGCGAAACTCCGACAAAGCAGCGTGGTAATACTTTCTTTGGTGGAGCTGTGTATAGGGAACATGACATCATGTGTATCCGGAATGCTCTGGCACAGTTCTCTCTTTTTTCTTTTGCTTTTTTTCAGTGGAGTCGTGTATAGCGAACATGACAACACACGTATGCGCATTGCTCTTCCAAGTTTGGAAGTGAATGTTTGCCGTCAACCCACAAGTGACAGGTGTGATCGATTCATTGTGCCAGAGTTCGGTGCTGTGAGTACAGCTAAATTCTCCCTTACCCTGGATCTCTTGCAGGCATCTCCTCACTGGAGGACACGGAGACTGTTCCCTTAAACTGGTGGATGTTCACAGTGCGCGCGTTGCTGAGTCTGCATATGCTCATTGTTCACCAATCAGGTGTGTGCCTTCTGTCAAACAAGATTCTCGCCATCAATCATCTGTAGATCGGGGGACGCATAATGTGAAGGGGGAGAGGGGAGAGAGGAAGAGTGTGTAAACAGAGGTAGAGCAGATTGGAGAAACGATTGGAGGGGAAAGTGAGCGCATAAGGGAGGAGTGATCAAGTTGTAAGGGAAATGGTAGTTCTAAGCATACTTGCAAGCAGACGGACCGGACGAGCGTCCAGTCCGGTCCATTTTGCCGCATGCGGCACCCTCCCCCCGGACCGGACGGACCCGGACCGGACCGGACGGAGGCGGTTTTTTTTGGGGGGGGGGGGGGGGGGGCGTAACTGGTCGTCGGGCGCACATTTGTGCGCCGCACGGGTCCGGTCCGGCGGTCTGCCCCACGTGCAGAACCGCCCGGACGACGTCCGCTTGCAAGTATGGTTCTAAGGGATCTGCATGTAGTGTGGCATGGGACAGATTCAAATCTGCAAAATGATAACTGGGTAATGGCTCCCGGTAGAGGTTAAAAGGATTCTACAATGGGATGCTGGACCCGGTTTTCAGCAGGTGCTGCTCCCTACCAATAGATCGGAGCATCCAGGGACGGAGCTGCGAAATTTCACTACCCCTAGCAAGCCCCACCCGCTTTTCTCAAAAAAAAAAAAAGAAAACAAAAAGAAGTGTTCTATGAAGTATGACTAAGTGTATACGTGGAAATAGCACGAATTCGAATCTGTGAAAGGAGAACAGGAATAGTGTGAAGTACAACTAAGCGTAAATGCGGAAGTTGCAGATGGGAAACTGCACATGGGAGAAGATCACAATTTTAGGATGGATGAGTGATCCAGGGGCATGGGATTGAATTGGAAATGGGACGATTGTTGGTGATACTGTGAGTCCTAGAGACTGGGGCAGTGCCTGCGATCCGATGCTTTCCCCTTTCCGCAGCACGCCTAATGTGCAACCAGGTACATAGCTCTGTTTCCCGGCCACTAGGTGTGCCCTGGGCAGGGGACAGCGTGGCTCCCTGCGATCACAATTTTAGGATGGATGATTGAGGTAGGGGATAGGAAGCTGCATATGGGAGAGGAAGGGAAGAATTTCTGCGTCCACATGCTGCTCGCATGCTGTTCTTTGTCGTTTGCCATTTTGCTGTTTGCTGTCAGTTGTGAGATTGCTTCTTGGGCTACGTCCTGTAGGTCCTACTTGGGTTTGATACCAGCTGTTTTTCCGCTAGCTAATTGCAGAAGCTTCCTGGTCTTTGTGTATTTGTTTGCAATCAGTTGTCTGGCGCTTTCTCCGGATGGTAGCATCCTTGTCACAGGATCCAAATTCGCAATGGCTATCTTGTGGCGGATACACCGGACTTCAGGTAGCAATTCCGGAGGTGAGTCCGTTGTCTGTTCTGTCTTTTATCTGGATTCGAACTCGGGTCTGCAGTGCACCAGTTCATTGGGTGTACCAACTGAGCTAGGCCGGTTGGTGAGTCTGTTGTCTTGTCTTTGGCTTTCTTATTATTCTTTGTTATGTCTTGTCTTTGGTTTCTGCATGGTTTGCTCGTTTGTTTAAATCTCTCCTTTCTTTGGCTTTCCTATTCTTTGTTTTCTCCATGGTTTGCTTGTTTGTTTAAATATCTGCTTTATTTGGCTTTCTTATTCTTTGTTTTCTCCATGATTTGCTTGTTTGTTTATATCTCTGCTTTCTCAAGTGTGTTATGTCGCATTTCTTTGCACCTTTATCATGCTTTATGGAAATCTTCGAATCTTTTATATCCGCTGCATTTTGTGTGAAGACGTTGTCATCTGTCATTTGTTCAACATTCAAATCTCACCAGAAGTTAGAAAGTGTTGTCAAAAAAAAAAAAAAAAAAAAAAAAACATGTTCGTGTGTGTGTGTGGATTGATTAATGGATTGATTGATTGATTGAATGATCGATTGATTGATTGATTGATCGATAGTAGTTGTCAAAAAAAAAAAAAAAAAAAAAAAAAAAGGGTTGTCACAGTGTTCTTTGGGACATCCGTTAAAATGGGAATGGTAATTAGAACGGTACAGAGAAGATTAGCATGGCCCCTGTGCAAGTAAGGATGACGCGCATAATTGGAGAAATGGTCCAATTTTTTGTTGAAAAAAAAAAAACAAAAAAAAACTGGTGTGGCAGTGGTGTCACTGTGAGGCTGCTATATGGTCAGGAGTCAGGAGTCTGGGGTGTTCTGGTAAAGCTTTGAAAGGCCCTACTGGGCTATATGTATGCCCTGCTTTGAAGATGCCAGATATTGCGAGTCTATTTTTGTCCTTCGATCATGGTGGTCACAATCCCTACAAAAACCTGGACACAGTCCAATGGGGCCTGGCCCGGAGAGGAATGACGTAGCAAATTGCTATTTTTATCATTTGATCATGGTCGTCACAGTTCCTACAAAGACGTGGACACTGTCTAACGGGGCACAGCCCGGAGAGGGATGAGGTAGCAAATTGCTATTTTTATCATCTGATCATGGTGGTCACAGTCTCTGCAAAAAGACCTGGACACTGTCTAATGGGGCACAGCCCGGAGAGGGATGAGGTAGCGAATTGCTATTGCTGCCAAATGTGCACACAAAGCTCCAAAGTGAAAATCATTCACTTTTGCTTCTAGAGGACCATGATTAGGTGTCTATTCTAAGTTCTAACATTGCAGCATTCCTGAAAGTTCTTCAGCATGCCAAAGTCAGACACACAAACAATGGTCAAACATTTGGGACTGCAAATCTGTTCACCTTTTCATCTCTCTCTCTCTCTCTCTCTCTCTCTCTCTCTCTCTCTCTCTCTCTCTCTCTCTCTCTCTCTCTCTCTGTGTGTGTGTGTGTGCGCGTGTGCGTGTGCATGTCACTTAATGAAACATGGACAAAACATTGATGTGGTGTAGTCGTTATTCTTGACAGCCCATGCATCTGCCCAAGACCCATCCATGGTAGCAATTGCAGCTTCAGCCGCAGGGTCATCTGGAATTCCTTCATCACCCCATATGCCGTCAGATGCAGAAGGCGAGCTCATCGATAACAGTGGCAGCAACTTCTCACGGAGAAAGTGCATTGAGGGTCCTCTTCATGTTCTAAGAGGACATGTAGATGAGCTGATTTGCTGTGCAGTGAATGCTGACTTGGATCTGGTGGTAAGCTCCTCTCTTTTTCTATTCCCACCAATTTATCTGTTCCTTTCCCATTTCAGCTTTCACTTATTGTGTGTCTCTCTCCTGTCTCTCTGGCCTCTTCCTTATTGCTGTGCACCGACCACCCCTCCCCGTCCCCCCCCCCACCCCCCCACTCCCACTCCCCATTGATGAGGGGCACTAGCAAACCGAAAGTTGAAGATAGGTTATGCATTGAGGTGGGGATACGAGATAGCTGAGGACTGGACCCCAAGTAAAGAGGGGAAGGCACACCAGTTGGGTATTCAGCTGTTCAATCTACCAGTTGGGTATTCAGCTGATCAATCTACATTGAATCCACACCCTATTAATGAGGGGCACCAGCAAATGGAAAGTTGAAGATAGGTTATGCATTGAGGTGGGGATACGAGTTGGTGAGGACTGGACCCCAAGTGAAGAGGGGAAGGCACACGATTGAACAATCCACCAGTTGGGTATTCAGCTGTTGAATCTACGTCGACTGTTTACCGCCGCATAAATGAGGTTATTTAATCAGAAGAGGGGTTAGCTGGCTGGTTATGGCTTTGATGCCTCTTATGGTACGGCGTCGACCAGAGGTGGAACCCGGGATCCGAGGGGGGAATGTGAGCCTAGGACTGGGGACAAGGGGGTCGGTTGTGCAGCTTGTGCTTGAAGATGGGACGAGTGGAACTCATTTTCTTCGACACAGAGACATGGCCCATCAATATTTTGTTGAATCACTTGGAAGAGGGGAAGGAGGGCGTTTGGAAGAAGAAAGGCGAGGAAGTGCATGTTGTTGATTGCGGTCAAGAATGATTACAACGAGGGCTAGTGCTTGGGGCATTGACAAGTGCGGGTCCCTATGCGTATAGTCGCTGGTTTTAAGTTTGTCGAGGTCCATGTCCTCCATTCCTAAGGCCCATTAGTGCGCTTTCTGTTTCCAGTCTCGGATGTGGTCGTTCTCGCACATGGTGTGGACATGACATGTGGGGCCATGTTCATGTATTGCACAATTTTGACAACACATAATCGTCTGTGTAATCGGAATGCCCATGATCATATCATAAGATTGGACTCGAGTAGAGCTGTGGGATTCAGCGAAGGATACATCATAGCCTAGATGTGGACTTTGTGAAGTGTGCAATCTATTGTCCCCCTTGTCTCGTTCAGTTCTTCGGTGGGCTGGTGGTGATGATGGTGGGTGGGGAAAAGAGGGCTCCTGTCTTCGTACGTGGAAATATTAAACTGATGGTGATTTTTTGTGTTGATTCGTGTTGTTTTCCACAGGCAAAATAGCAAACTGATGACGGTTTTTTGTTTTGATTTGTGCCGTTTTCCACAGGCCACCTGCTCCAAGACCAAAGGTGTCCTCCTGCACACCATTATGAGGGGACGGTAAGACTTCTACCCAAAGCTCCTCGTTCTTCCAGGAACACTGTCTAGTGCTTACATATTCCCCCGGCCTCCCTGTCTCCCGCCGCAACTTTTTGTTTGTAACGTATCACCTAACCTATTCTCAGCCTATTCGCAGCCATTGTGTTCCTTGTCCCCAGCAACCGTAGTTGTTGCTCTTGATCTTCAACCAACCACACATCTCTCTCTCTCTCTCTCTCTCTCTCTCTCTCTCTCTCTCTCTCTCTCTCTCTCTCTCT